CCCCAAAGCCTAGGAGCTGGAATGGAAGGAGCAGGGAAAAGCTACCCAACCTGGCTTTTTTTTTTTTTTTTTTTTCACTCAAAACTCTTCAGGCAAATGCAGACAGAATCCCAGAAAGATTGAGGATTAATAGGTCTACAGGCTATCTCAGCATTTAATTTAAAGCCTGCAGATGTTAGCTCAGTGCTGATTGCTTGCCTAGCATGTACAAGTTTTCTGTTTTTGAGCCCCACACTTGGGGGAAAAACTTAGATTTTATTGGTATTCTAAGCTAAAATACAAAATGTAAAAATGTAACTATTTGGTATTTCTTTCTACTGTCACATACCAGGTAGGAGGGGCTAACATTATGCAGTTCTCCCTTTGTTGTAGAGGCTTGCTGACAATATGTCCAACACGCAGAAACATTACAGTCCCTTATCAGTAAAACACTGACAAGACAGGTGAAGAATGTAGTTTTTAAAATTCTAAACAATCAGCACCAGTAATTTTAAACAGGTTTTTTTGTTGTTGTTTGAATTTTCGTTTTTGCAGTACTGGAGATTAACCCAGGGCCTCAATGCATGCCAGGCAAGCACTCTACCACTGAGCCACATCCCCACCAAAAGGTTCATATTGTGGCTGCAGCTAGCCAAATAGTTTCTCAGTTTTGGCATCTATAAAAGGAAAAAGACTTGTTATTCCTCAGAAGATCCTAACTGAGTACAGGTGACCAAGTAGATGGCAGCTGACAATAAGACAGATGATTCTGTATGAACATCTCAGCCCGCTTTCATTGAGTCTTTTTCTCTGAGTCCTTCTGAGATCTCAGTGAGGTTCCCATGGGTAGAAGGCAGGGAAGAGAAGGTCCAGGTCAGAAAGGCAGCTTAGGGACTGCTGTTCCAAGGGCAGTCAATTAGAGCTGTTCCTATACTTTGTGAAATGACTCACATATGAATTCCAGACAAAGAAATTGGGACCAAATCAAACAGCATGTCAGAAGACTGTACATTTTAATTTTCCCCTTGCATTGTTTGATGAGTTCCTTGTAGAAATAGTTGTTTGGGCTCTCCTTGGCATCAGAGGATGGTTTTTTTGTTTTTGTCTTTTTAGAAACTTCTAAAATTACTAGATTTAGCTGGGTGCTGGTGACTCATGCCTATAATCCTAGCTACTCAGGAGGCAGAGATCAGGAGGATCGTGGTTCAAAGAGAGCCTCAGGCAAATAGTTTGTGAAACCCTATCTATAAAAAACCATTCAGAAAAAAAAAAAAATTGCTGGCAGAGTGGCTCAAAGTGTAGGCCCTGAGTTCAAACCCCAGTACCACAAAAAATAAATAAATAAAATGAAATAAAATAAAATTACTAGATTCTTTTTAAACAGTCTCACTGTGTAGCTCAGGCTGGCCTCATAATTGTCCTGCCTCAACCTCCTGAGTGCTGGGATTGCAGGGCTGTTCCACCAAGCCCAGCTTTGCTCACCTCTCTTTCAGAATACATGACATTCCACCTTCGGACCTGCTTTCTTTTTTTGCTTCTGAACCTGACTCAAGGAACCAGGCTAGAACTGTTTGTACCTTTTCTTTTTTTAAGCTCAGGTAGTGCATGGTTGGTAGGTAATTTTATCTTGAGGCCACAGAGAAAGGCTACTCTTACATTTTGCTTATGTCAAGGGGTACTTAAGTGTGCTGTTCCAGAGGTCCTGCAGGGACCTTCAGGTTTCTAGACTTGATTAAGTGTGCTACTTTAAAAAGACTTTTTGCCTTTAAGCTGATGTTTTTGCTTGTACTTTAACCCCTTCTCCATCTGGAATTCCTTTTCTGTGTCTTTCTTGATTCCAGATCAAATTGATGAAAATCTCAAACTGGCTCTGCAACAGGACCTGACCTCCATGGCCCCTGGACTTGTCATCCAAGTAAGCATTGCCACAGTGGGAGGGTCTCCCGGCTTTGACATTGCCACAGTGGGAGGGTCTCCCGGCTTTGACATTGCATCCTCTCCTCCAAGGGATGTCCTTTTTGCACAGGAGAATCAAGGACCCTTGGGATCCTAGGTCCCTCACCACTCTCACGTTCCCACAATTGCTGTTTGTACCCTTCTCTAGGCTGTGCGAGTGACAAAGCCAAATATACCTGAGGCGATCCGCAGAAACTACGAGCTGATGTGAGTATGCCCTATGCCTACACTGACCACCTCCCACCATGCTTTCCCACTTTCTCACCTCATCCTATACACAGTTAACAAAGCTGTGTTAACTGGGCTTTGCATACAGTTATTCTTTCTTTCTTTTTTTTTTATTTTCTGGTGGTACTGGGGTTTCAACTCGGGGGCAGAGCCTCACGCCTTGCTAGGCAGACACTCTACCACTTGAACCATTCTGCCAGCATGATTCCCTTTCTTGAGCATTTGTTGTAGACTAGGCACTTTAAGATTGGGCAAGCAGGTCAGGGCTCCTTAATTTGTCTGAGAGCTACAGAAGAGCCCTAAAGGGCAGTGGTACTTTTAAAGAATCAAGGGCCTTGTGTCTGCTCAGAGGCTCATGCCAAAGATGGAGATAAGAGGGAAAGACAAATAAGTGGACTGGCAGGTGTATTTTATTAAAGTACACTTTGGTTTGGTTTGGTTTTGAAACTGAGTCTTTCTCTGTACCCAGACTGGCCTCAAACTCCTGGGTTCAAGCAGTCCTCCTGCCTCAGCCTCCCAAGTAACAGGCTACAAGCACACACAGCCATGCCCATCCATTATGTTATGTTTTATTTCCTACAAATTAGTTATCTTGGAGAAGAAAGAGAGCCATGTTACTGTCTACAGTACTGAACGGCCTTCCAAGAGAGCAAGAAATCCTAGTGTGGCTTTCCACAGTGGAAAAGTTGGGCTTCTCTAGGGGACAGTGAAGTTCCTCAGAACCTCTTATTGTAGCTTCACAGTTGCATACTTTTTCCCCTTTCAGGGAAAGCGAGAAGACAAAGCTTCTTATTGCAGCCCAGAAACAGAAGGTGGTGGAAAAGGAGGCTGAGACAGAGCGAAAGAAGGCCCTCATTGGTCTGCATCTGGTTCCTATTCCCCTTTCAGGGCAGAAGGGCTGGGGATGATGGGAAGATGCAAGGAAGACCCAGGCGTGGTTAGACCACATAGTTTCCAAAACACTTCCACCATGCAGGAGTGGCATGTATATCCTTAAAAGCAAAGTTGAAATGATCAGAGGTAACAAGCTATGAGTTTGCATATATCTCATAAATGGACGAAGCCCTTCCTGTTGATTTTTAATGTATAATAAGAAGCCAAACAGTTATTGAGCACTTACTATGAGCCATGTAAGCACTTAATATGTGAAGTAACTCAATCCTCACAACTGCCATGTGAGATAGGTACCGTCATTAGCCTCTCTAAAGCTAACATGTCCAAGGCCATGTGGCAAGTAAGTGGTGAGACTGGGGTTCAAGTCCAGAGACTCTGACTAATCACTGCATTAAACGTGACTACTTCATACTTGCACTGAAAGCATGCTGCTGTGCTCACTAGTACATTCCATCTCTGCCCAGGTGTGCCTGTCACTGCTGCCCTGTGGGGACAGTGGCTCTCTATCTAAGCATATTCAGTGATGCATCTCAGCATGAAAATCAGGTGAAATCAGTCAGACTTTTAAAGCATCAGCATTTAAGTCCATCCTTAACTTCATTTACAGAGGCAGAAAAAGTGGCTCAGGTTGCAGAAATCACCTATGGGCAGAAAGTGATGGAGAAGGAGACTGAGAAGAAGATTTCAGAAATTGAAGGTAAGCAAAAGGGACCTCAGTGCCTGAGCTTTGCTCACACCCCACTTTGTGGCAAGTGAGTGGGAGGGTCTTCTCCCTTGCTCTTTAGTTTCTATCCTAGGATGTCATCATCTCTCTGAAACATCAGTTTTACTGTGTACTTAGACTCAAGTTTTGAGATTTTGGCCAGGCTAACAAACCTAAGTAGATGCTAACTAGCATTCTACTTCAGAGAGCATGAATTCATTCAGTAAATGTTGGTTGGATGCCATGATACACCAGGCATTTTGTTAGACTTTTAAAAAGGAGAAACAGTTATGGTTGTACACATCTGAAATCCCAACACTTGGGAGGCTGAGGCAGGAGGATCTCAAATGTGAGGCCAGCCAGGCTACATAGTGAAATCCTGTCTCAAAGAAACAAAAAATGGCATTATTTTGGTCTCAGAGACTGCTCTCAAGTCCATGCAATGTTAAGTTTGTTTCAAAGCACACGCTTTCTCAGCACCAGCAACTCTGGAGCTGAAGGGAAGAGTTTTCTTGGCTGGCTTTCTCAATGTCATTTGCCTTCAGTTCCTGCTCCTGAGCCCTTACCTCCTTCCCATGACCCACCTTTTACTTCTGTCAAACAAATTCCAGGACAAAAACAGATCCTCAGAGCGCTTCACCCAAAGTGTTAGGTCCAGGTATACTCACTTGGGGCCTTTCAGGCATTGAAGGGGCTCACTGAAGAGTGAGTTAGGACATTACAGACCAGCAGCTCCTCATTAGGGAGCTCTTAGCTAAACAATGTGTTTTCATTTCTTATAAAAACATATGATCAGGTGCTGAGGCCAGTTGAGTGGTTGTAGAACAGCCAGAACTCCTGCCAGACTGTAGGCTCCTCCCCCAGGGTTATCTTGTGGACATTCAGAAAGGCTCCCCACAGACTGACCTTTCTCCTGAGGCATTTTGCTACAGATACTACTCACATGAAACTGGCCTCATTACCAAAGCAAGGGGGTAAATATCAAAATTTTTGCATCAGCTTGACGGAAATCTAGTCTCAGAGCTAAGCAAGGAGGTATGTTGCTTGCATATTGAAATTTTTAAAAAGTGTAAATCCAAACAGATGCTGGTCTAGACCACAGAAGGTAATTCTCTCTTAGAAGTGTGCCTGCCAGCTTAATCACAGATCATCAGAATCTTTTTAAATGACTCATGGAAATGAAGGGGTATGAACCTGGAGAGGGACTGAACTATTTTATGTTTACGGTATTTAGTTTTAGGGTGGACCATCCACCAACCATCTTCAGAACCTTCTCAGCTTCCCTTACCTTGCTGGGTATCACAAGAGGGATGAGGTGGAGAGTTCTGGAACTGGAGCCTGGAGCATGGTGCCACTGCTGTGCTTCACAGATGTAGAACTACAAAAAAGGGAAGCGTGTGAAAATATGAAGTGTCTCCAGGTAGCATTGCTTTTACAGATGCCTTCAAAGGTGTATGTAGCCACAGCAACAGACTTGCTTATAGCTAGTTCCCATCCTAGGGAAATGCTTCCAAAGCATGTTTTCATCTTTGGTTGATCCTACAAGTACAATAGGAAAACTACCTTTTTCCCCTTGTAGGCAATTTTTAGGAACAATTATAGGGACCAGAACATACTCCTTTCTTTTTCTTGAGACAGGGTCTCACTGTGGAGCCCAGGCTAGCCTAGAACTCAAGATCCTCCTGCCTCAGTCTCCCAAGTGCTGAGATTTATAGAGATGCACCAACATGCCCAGCTTTTTCGCAGAAGCGGGGTGGTGTATGGGACTGGGAACCAAACCCAGGGCTTTGCACATGCTAGGCGAGCACCCTACCACAGAGCTATATCCCTAGTCCCCAGAACACAGTCTTCTCAGGGCCTCTGTGCCTCCTGCAAAGCCTGAGGGTTTGCACTTCATTCATTTCCCTGTACTCTTTGCCTGTCAGATGCTGCATTTCTGGCCCGGGAGAAGGCCAAAGCTGATGCCGAGTGCTATACTGCACTGAAAATAGCTGAAGCAAATAAGGTAAAGGCCCAACGCAGCCTGATAAAGACTTGTCTTTGGGTTTGGGTTTGCATTGCTCAAGAGTTCCCCAGTGTTGAATGACCACCCAGCACTCCTCGTAGCCAGAGCTAAAGACTCCTGTGCTATGTGGGACATTTCCCTTTTATAGGAGGCCCTGGTAGAAGTTTAATACGAAAACTTCTAAAACTCATCACTCTGTCTTGAAGGTCTTTGATTTTTTTTCTCTTAGAGAAATTTCCCTATGGTAATGTAAGAGGGAGGTCATGAAAAGTAGAGAGGGGTATATTTCTTGGGCAGAGACCTCCATATGAAAGTCAAGATGATGCCACCCAAAATGTTCTCTAACCTTGTCCCACCTGAGCCATCTTAACTTCTACCACAGCTGAAGCTGACCCCAGAATACCTGCAGCTGATGAAGTACAAGGCCGTTGCTTCCAACAGCAAGATTTACTTTGGCAAAGACATCCCTCACATGTTCATGGACTCCTCAGGTCTAAGCAAGCCATTCGAGGGGCTGGCTGACAAACTGGACTTTGGCTTAGAAGATGAGCCCCTGGAGGCCACCACAAAGGAGAACTGAAAAAAATTTATACAGCCTCAGATTGTGACACTTAGAGAGATCTTTATTTTTTAAGATGACATAGAATGCTCCTTTCTCCCACACTACCTTCTTTGACTCCTTAAGGTACAGTGGTGAAAAAGAAGAAATGGACTTAAATCCATCCCCGCTCTGGGAAGGGAGGTGGGATGGATCATTTGGGTTTTATTCAGGTAAGTAGGTTATTTAACTTCTGATTAGATGTGTAAACCATGGCTTGGACCTCTGACCCACGGGCACCAATTTTGTCCCTTTAAAGCTGGCCTAATTGGGGATGCTATCGCTACAGAGTGGAAGAAATGTAGGCTGCTGCCTCCAGGTGGTTTGATTTCCTTATTTGGGAAAGTGCAGCCCACCCTTCTCTCCCTTGCCTCCAAGCAGGAGGTGTCTGTGGGCAAAACTCATAACTGAGCAAATTTGCGTTGTGGAGCAACAGCTGCAGGGAATGTTGGCCTCCTGGGCGTTTTAGTCAGGAGCGAGTGTTGGTTATCTTAGAGGTGAGCTTTTTGGAGCCCTCCTAAGAAAGAACCTGGTGCTAGGTTTTGCAAATTTTCTATACACTATGCTCCTTGCACTAGGGCGAAGAGTGGTGGTTTCTGACTACATCTGGTCAGGACTTGGTCACCACTTCACAATTCTTTTTGAAATGTTTTGCATAATCTGTGATTTGGTTTTTTTTCTCTTCTTGAATAATCTGTTGTTTCCTCTCAGAAGACAGTAACAAACAAGTGTCTTACTAGCTGCTGAAGTGGGATCATTATACCTGTTAGCCACCGAAGTACCTGCTTGGCAGATTATATGTACCTAGAGACCAGGAGTCTTCATTGTTGTGGAGATTTTTCATTCAAGGCCTCTGATACCTGTGGGGCAGGAAGAAGGGTCAGTCAAGAGATGCCCTAGTCATAGTGCCTATGGCTTGTGCTGGGAGTTTATCTGACAAGGTGATAAACATGTTTTTAAATCTAGGACTCCAGGCCACCTGGGGATCAGACAGAATGTTAAATCTCCAGAGAGAGCTATGTATTTGCAAGTCAGAGTTCATGCCTGAGGTCCTGGGTTGAACTGAGTCCTGGGCTGCATCAAAATCTATTAAAAATGTTTTCTTTTCCATTCCTACTTAAGGAAGATTATGAGTCACCATGGGAGAGTCAGGATGGGGACAGCAGATGGGAAAGAAAGGTTTTTCTAATATCCTGAAATTCAGTATGAGGGCAGGAGATCCAACTTATATAGCCCATGAGTGGTGTATAGAATTGGTAAGTGGAGGGCAGCTATCTGGAGTGAATTTGCAAGCGTATTATTCCCCGACCATGACCAGCTCTAGCTTAGGACTTGGCCTTGTTATCAGTTGTATATCCCCTCCAGCCCCTAAGAAATAGAAACAACAAGCATCTACTGTATTCCTTTTCCCTAGGTGAATGCCCTGAGTGATACTGACATTAATCTTCACCTCATTTGTGATCCTGTACTCAGGCCAGCTTACTCATAAGTGGCACCAGGTTTGTCAGGTATTTGGGGGGCATTCAGCCTGCCTAGAAGGATACAAAATGTTAACTCTCCTTACTTCAAATGTTGCCCTTCTCTCTTCTTTTTCCTGGTACTGAGAATTCTCAAAACAGTGGTCTTAATCATACTTTGTACAAGCAGCAAAGCAGTCCTTGGTGGGATGGACTTTGATGTGCTAGCAAAAGGAGGTCTTTCTTCCCAAGCCCAGCATAGAACACTCATTACTAAAATGCATTCATCTTCCTTCCTCCCATCAACGACCTGCTGTTAACCACTTGGTAGCCTCCCCTCTTCCCATCTGTGTCTTTTCCTTGCACACTGAGCTCCTGCTGCCTATGCCTTGGAAAACAGCTGTCCACTACAATTGTCTCAGGAGTGGAGCATCCCAGCCTCTCTGAATATCACACCCTCCTCAGGTTCTTAACTGGAAAATCCCATACTAACATCCTATGATAGCTTGTCCCTCAGCCACAAAAGCCTCAAAGGCCTGCTGAACTGCTCACTCCCCATGTTAATGTCACTTCCTCTCTAAACAAAAAATGTACATGTTGTCATGCCCATCAACATAAACCCAGTGGTCATGGGTACTGGTTAAAGCATGAAAATATGGAAGACAGCTTTCTCCTTAGCATGGGATATCTAACCCATCTGTCTGTGTAACTTTATTATTTTAATACATACTAGAAAATTTAATCTTAAAATATTTGCATTCTGAACATGTAAAATGTGATAAGCCTATAATTTTGTAGGCAGTTAAGTCATGGCTGCTATTTTTAAGTGGAACTTATATCAAAACAAGTAACTTTATAAAATTCAGTTTTTGTAGGATTTTCCAAGGAAGTCATCTTGGTAGACTGTTTCTCACTCATTAAACTTTGCAGAAACGACTCATATTCAGTACTGTTTTTAATCACTTTTTTTAATACAGGGCAGAATGTTTGTAAGAAAGCCAAAGTTTGTTAATTTTTATATAACTAAAATAAAATAGATTTGGAGAGATCTGTGATCATATTAAGTTGAGGGAGGGAGTCATTAAGCAAAGCTTAGCAATATATTAATCCAAGAAAGGAGATGTTCTATAAGTGAACTATGGCAGTTTCTATGACTCTGGGTGTGTCTCAACACTGATAGTTTTATCAGTTAGAGCAAACAGTGAAAGAAAAATGATCATCACTGACTTTAACTGTTTAAGTTTGAGGATAAATTGTATCTTAGTAAATAGCTACTCTTACTTCTTGGTTTTATTTAGCAGGGTTCTGTCTGCTGTTTTTGTTGTTTCCTTATAAAAGTAGTAATAGGTGATCATACTGTGTTTATATTTCCATTCCTTCATATCTCTACCTTTTTTGTAAGCTGGTGATTGAACAAAGTAATTTTTTCAAAAATGTCCCAAGGGCTTAATGACCCCCTTTATATCTGAGAAATGATTCTTGCTATATTTATCATTCTATAAATGATTTTGCTGGATTAATTGCTTTAGGTTGATAGCAGAAGGAAGTGACAACACAAAGGGTCTCATGTGAATTTATGTCTTAGTTTTATTTTCAGTCTTGCTAAATAAAATGAGTCTTTGTGTGAATTTATGTCTTAGTTTTATTTTCAGTCTTGCTAAATAAAATGAATCTCTGTGTTTACTTTTTATTAAAGAGAAATTTAATAATAGTTAATATCAGGATAGGTGATGTAAAGAAATAAAACATCCCTAGCTAGTGAGTTAAGTTCTCCCTAAAAATATATTCAAGTAAAAAATCTATCCCCATTATCAACATAGAAATAGCATAAAAAAATTCATGACAGGGTAAAACTTTTGATAGATGCTATAGGAATTTATCTTTGCAGTGCTAGGGTTAAACTCGGGGTCCTCACTTTTGCTAGCAGGAGCTTTACCACCACTCTTCTAGCCCTTTCTGCATTTTTTTATTTTTGTTTTTGTTGTTTGAGCAATACAGCAGAGATTTATTAGGCAGAGTTGAAAAGAGAAGAGCAGCCCCCATGTAGGGTTGGGGATGGGGGTCTCAGAAAGGCTGAGCCACAGTCGTTCATGACATGATCTGAGGTTTTCATCCATTTTCTCCAAGGTGTTGCTCAATCTCTTTGCTAATTAGATTGCTGCATTGGTTATTTTTGAGATAAGGCATTGCTTCATGCCCAGGCTGGCCATCCTCCTAATTGTGCTTCCCTGGGATTAACAGGTGCCTGCCATTGTGCCCAGCCATTGGTTGAGATAGGGGTCTCATGAATTTTTTGCCTGAGTTGTCCTCGAACCATGATCTTCCAGATCTCCTCCTCCCAAATAGCTAGGGAGGTTTATCATTTTAAAGAATTAATCACTGCAATTCTGCTCCAAAGGACAGAGATATTTCAGTTGACCCAGAACTGAATTGATATCAATTCAGTAGGGAACTCCCAGTCCCTGCTCTAGCAAGTTGCCTAGCGTAGTGTTGCCAGATAAAATACAGGACAGCCACATAAATGTGAATGTCAGGAAAATAATAATTTTTAGAATAAGTATATCCCAAATATTGCATGAGACATACCAAAAAAAAGTATATTTGTTGTGTATCTGAAATTCACATTTAACTGAGTTTCCTATATTTTTATTTGTTAAATCTAGTAGTCCTGGTCCAGGCTTTCCCACACTTTTTAATGGTGTTCCCAATCTTTATTGGTCTGAGTGTCTAAAGCACAAATAATAGGAACTTCAAATGGGTAAGTTAAGAATATAGTTACTGAAATTAGACTACCAAGGTTCATATCCCTGCCTTACTACTTCCTGGGTGTGTGGTCTTGAATTAGTTTTCTAATTCAGCTTAGGGCCCTGTACAAGATAGGCAAGCATACTCTATACTGAGCTACATCCCAGCCCTTGAATTTTTTGAGACATGGTCTCACTGTTAACAGCTCAGGATCTTGAACTCACTATGTAGCCCAGGTTGGCCTCAAACTTGAGATCTTCCTGTCTCTGCCTCCCAAGTGCTGGGATTATAGGCATGCACCACCATGTCCATCTTGAATTAATTTTTTAACCTAAGTCTTAGTGTCTTCATCTGTAAAATGGACTATATAAAATAATGCATATTGGGCTGGGGGTGTGGCTCAAGTGGTAGAGCACCTGCCTAGCAAACGTGAGATCCTGAGTTCAAGTCCCAGTGCCACAACACAATGCATGTGAAGGGTTTTAGTGCTGTGCTTTGCATGTGTAACTGTTCAAAAAGACATCTGGGAAATGGGCTAGAGAGCACACAGCTATTAGGTGGGTACCACTAAGTGGAAAGATTTTAGTTAGGATAGTATGTAGAGGAAGAAGGACATGGCCACATGCCTCTGCAGAAATCTTTGTGCACAATAAGCTGTTTGAGAGGAATCGTCTAGTTCTAGAGTTTAGTTAAATTAACAGGGCTAGGGATATAGCTCAGTGGCAGAGTGCTGGCCTAATATGTGTGAAGCCTTGGGTTTGATCCCCAGCACTGCAAAAATAAAGAAGTATTAAAAACTTGAAAAGGCAAAAAAGAACAAAATGTTAGCAAAAAAAAAAAAAGTAATTAAAAATTAAAGCTCACAGGTTGACCCCAGGAAAGGCAAAAAGGAAATTGTAACCTCGCATTTTTAAGTTGCATAATAGTCAACTAATATTCTTAGTTCTTGGCGCACCTAAGAAGAAATTAGCTTGAAGAATGAGGTATTTTTAAAGAATTTATGTAAGTCAGGCTAGTTTGAAATGGAAAGTAGTGATCTACAAATAGAAAATAATTAAATCTCGGGATCAGCTTGGATAACACTTTCTGATAGTCTTCAGAAATTGGGAAGATTCTGTGCTGTTTGAGATGGTTTAAGTGTCTATATAAAATAAAAATAATTTTAAAATATCCCCAAAGGTCTTTCCCAGGTCTAAAGTTCTAGAATCTACTTTGACATTTCAAAAGCCAAGTGTGACAACACGTTTGTGGAGAGATTGCTGTCATGGGCTACTCTGCCTGAATTCATTTAACCTGGGACATGGCATTATTTCTTCATTTCTCTTAAAAGCCAAGTAACCAGGCAACAGTAATTTTCTATTATTTTATCTTTCTTTAATCCCCCCAAAACAGTCACAGTAGGCTCAGCAGGAAACAATTTTAAAAATCCATAGATGTTTTTCTCATAAACAGAGCCTTAGACTACAAAGATGAATGTCTTAAACAATGGATGTAAAATACTTGGATAAGTATACTAGGCTCTAGACTGTTTATAAATTCTGTCCTTTGGCTGATCCCTGTCCAATTAAAGAAGGAAACAAAGAAAATGAGAGGGGTTGGAGTGTAGCTCATTGGTAGAGCATGTGTTGCACAGGCTCTGGGTTCAATCTCCAGCACCAAAAATCCTTCAATGTAGAGGAATGAGCCAGGCACAGTGGTTCATGCCTGTAATCCAGCAAATGGGAGACTGAGGCAAGAGGATCATGAGTTCAAAGCTGGCCTCGGCAAAATATTGAGACCTTGTCTCAAAAAAAAAAAAAACTGGAATGTGAAATGATGGTAGGACTAGGACCAGTATAACTTTTTATCTTTTCTTCCATTTATGTGAGGTTGTAGAATTTTAGAGATGAAAGCATCTTAAAAATAAATTTACAAAGGGCTGATGGACTGGCTTAAGTGTGAGGCCCTGACTTCAAACCCCAGTACTGCCATAAATAAATAAATTCACAATAAAATCTCTCATCCTCATCCTGGTCTCCCCAATTTTTTTTTTCTTGGCAGTATTGGGGCTTGAACGCAAGACCTCATGCTTGCCAGACAGGCTTTCTACCACTTGAGCTACGCCCCCAGTTCTCCTCCACTTTTTCTTTACAGAGTAATTTCATAATTGCTCACTGCATGGATAAAGGGATAGGAGGTAGCCCTATCTTGTAATTCACGGAAGAGAGACCTGATCTAGTAAATGAAGATACAACTACTTGTCATGAGTAGTGACCTTCCCTTGATTACTAATTTTACCAATCACCTGGCAGAGGTCTTTTTTCTCCCCTCAGATAGGAATCATGGGTAGGTGAGGAGCAGCTCTTCCAGCACTGGCAATCCTAGGTCCTTGAGTGCCCTAAGCCTAGGGGTTGGACGGCAGACCCAGAGGTTTACAGCTTCAAGCCCTAAGAGCTAAGAGCCTACTGTTCCAGGCCCTAGTGTGCCTAGTGGCTTTAGGCACTCAGGTTGAAGGCTTATTGCTCTGGGATTTAACCACCAGTGCCCCAGCACTTGGCAGCTATTGTAATCTTCAGCTTCCAGCAGCAGTGGGCAGTAGGGGCAAACAGCTGCAAGCAGCAGCAGGTGGCACCAGCTAGTGTTAACAGCTCTCACACAGGCCTCCAGTACAGGATCCTCAGACCTAAAGCAGCAAGTGGTACAGATCTTAAACCTATGGTTCTGAAACCCTCAGCCTTTAAGGTCTGGCAGCAACTTGATACTCTTATAGCAACCAGACCCATAGTTTCTCTCCTTGGCTCTTCATAGACTTCTATTTTTCACCCTCTCTTGCCTTCCACCATCCCTTTTCTCTACTACTTTTGCTGTCATTTCTTCTCCCAGCCACTCTGTGGAACGCTTCAGCTGTCCTCTTGTTGCTCCTGCCACTGTCATCACTGCCCCACTGAGCACTCACAACTCAGCCCACTCTACAAGTGATAAAGACTAAAAGTAGTCAAGAGAGCTGGAGTCATGGGTCAAGTAGTAGAGCACCTGTGTCCTGAGTTCAAACCCCAGTACCACCAAAAAAGGGAGGGAAAAGTAGGTAAGAAAAGACTACTAGAGAGAAGTCACTTGTTGGTCCTAATGTTGTAATACCACAAGGGCGGGGGCAACACAGGAGAATGTCTCCCCACTGGCAGAAAAAATAAGCAGAACAACCTGCTTATACAAGCAGAAAGGGGATATGGCAAGAATGTCTGCTCCAATCATGGCAATCCTTCATGCAAATAAAGGACTGTGTTTGTGCCACTCACAGTCATTCTGCTGGGCCACCAGAGGAAGTGCTCTCCTTTTGGCCTGAGTAAGAATAGCTGCAGAATAAGCATGGTCATTTATAGTTCACCAAGGTTTGTAGTGGCAAAAAGCCTGCAGCCAGGGGCTCACACCTGTAATCCTAGCTACCCCGGAGGCAGAGATCAGGAGAATCGAGATTTGAAGTCAGCCCAGATAAATAGTTTGAGACTTTATCTCAAAATACCTAACAAAAAAAGGACTGGCAGAATGGCTCAAGTGGTAGAGCACCTGCCTTGCAAGGATGAGGCCCTAAATTCAAAGCTCAATACCCACCAAAAAAAAAAAAAAGTGCTTACAGCTGTGCACTAGTGGCTCACACCTGTAATCCTAGCTACTTGGGAGGCTGAGATTGGAAGGATCTCAAGTCAAGGCAAATAGTTTGAGAAACTCCATCCTCAAAGGCAAATAGTTGGAGAGACTCCATCTCCAAAGTAACCAGAGTAAAATGGACTGAAAGTGTAATTCTAGAGCACCTGCTATTTAAAACCCAAAATTGAAACCCCAGTTCCACAAAAAGGAAAAAAAAAGTGCTTACAATAAAGGCCTATCACTAACATTAACAGTGATTTAATATAACAATACTCTAGCAATGCTTAATTCCTGCCCCAGAACCCCAGAAGAGGTGGGTCCCCCTATGTGTCTCACTATCATCTGGATTGTACATTCCTTAGATCTATGAGGTATTTATGTTTTAAAAAATGTTTTCCAACTATCATATCTCTTAAGGTATTTCATGCTCACCCTCCCACCACTTCCTGCTGGTTCTGTATCTCTATAGCAAATATATCTCATTCCAGGAAGGGCTATTCTAGTCATTTTAAAATTTTTATCACTTTGGTAGAAGTAGTAATATATCAAGCTTAGAGACATTTTACTTGATTACAATTACTCCTAACGTTCACATTCTAGTTTATTCTAGTCTTATGGACCATAGTAAATGGCCATAAACTTCCCCAAAGGATGGGGGATAAGAAAGAGTAATGGAGGGGATAAATTTGACCAACATACATTATACACATGTATAGATCACTATGAAACCCTTTTGTACAATTAATATACTTTTATTTATTTATTGTTTTATTATTCATATGTGCATACAAGGCTTGGGTCATTTCTCCCCCCCGCCCCCTCCCTCTCCCCCCACCCCCTCAATACCCAGCAGAAACTATTTTGCCCTTATTTCTAATTTTTTTGAAGAGAGAGTATAAGCAATAATAGGAAGGAACAAGGGTTTTTGCTAGTTGAGAAAATATACACTTTTTTAAAAAAGCCTCTTATTGCAAGGACCTAAGGTTCTGCTCAGAGCTATTTTCACAAATCAGAATGTATGAAATTCCATCTCCCTTCCTGGAGTCCGGGACAAGGTAAGAGAAGAGAGTGAGATCACTGTCTTCTTTCCAGAAGGCTCTGAAGTGCCCCTTCTCCAATGTAGTGGAATCCCACTTCATCAAGTGGGATTAATGGTTGAGAATCTTTCAGCAGCAATTGCAGCCAGAAGTACTTCCCTTAAAAGTAGTCTCTTTTTACTTGCCCACAGCATCTACCGTTTCATCACCTGACTATGAAATTCAGAGTTTTGTAGTGTCTCTGGCTCCTCAACCTGTACTCAGAACTGGACTATGTCAGTGGGAGAGGGGAGGGCATAAGAAAAGGGTGACTATGGTGGAAGTACTGTGTGTTCACGTATGAAAATGGAACAATGAGACTTGTTGAACCTGTTCTAAGAAGGAGGGAGAAGAAAGATGGAGGGGATGAATCTAACTAAGATATATTGTCACACTTGTAAAAGTCACAATGCACCCCTGTTACAACTATAATATGCTAATTTAAGAACTTCCAAGGCTGTGTGCTGAGCGCATGCTAGTTGTCCTATGCCTGCCTGTGCTCTCCTCTAACCAGTAGCACTAGCCAAGGCGGCCCCTGGCCATTGAGCTAGGATATCCCCAAATGAAGCCGGCTCTAAGTCAAAACTATACGCCGGATTTCAGATACTACGTATGATCTTAAAAGAATTTAAAATGCCTTATTTGGTTTTCATATTGATTGCATGCCTAAGTCTTATGTGGGTATATTGGGTTAGATAAATGCATCATTAAAATTGCTTACTTCTTATGAACCTATGAGAAAAATTTTCACTACCTATGTAACGGTATTTCTATAGGCCAGCACTGGTCTAATGCATGACAAAATAGAAATAATCATACATTTCAATCAGGTCGTGTCTTTATCACAACACATTCCTCTTAAGAACCATTCAACATACCGACAGCTGTCTCCGCCCTAGCATTTTCTAATCCGGGTACTGCACCCAGAAATTTTGCTTTAGAGCTCTTGAAAGCTAGGGACGGTCAAACCTTCGAAGGCCTTTCAAAAAGGAGTAAGACACCGAGAACAGCCTGCTTTATTTTCCTCAGAAAAGTCCTTTGAGGGCAGCAGCGGCTCAGATGCCAGGCCTGAGACCCACGCGGGAAAGACCTCCGATCCACCAGGCTCCCGCGAGACAGGCCAAAATGGCCGCCAGGGGGCGGGCTACCCCCGCGCTGCCCGGGCCGATTGGGTAATACGATTCGGTGCTGAGCGGTGATGGGCCTTACGTCGGGAGGGGGCGGGACCGGAAGGTGGGCTCAGCCCGCGGGTGCCCGAAAAAAACTACGTTGTCCCCGGGGAATGTGGAGAGCTGGTGGCATGTCGGCGGAACTGGGCGTCGGATTCGCGCTGCGGGCAGTGAACGAGCGCGTCCAGCAGGCTGTGGCGCGACGGCCGCGGGTGAGGAAGGGACTGCGTGGGGACGGTGCGCGGCCACTTTGAGGAGGGGAACACCTGCGTGGCAGTAGGTCGTCACGGTGACGCAGAGGGGGTCTCCCGGAGGGGCGGGGCCCGCGGCCAGGCGTCTGCTGAGGTTTCAGAGCCCCCGAAAGTCTAGAGAAGGATTTCCTCAGCGTCCGCGCCGTGGGCCCCGTAGGTTTTCTGGAGGTGGGCTTGATTGGTGCAGAAGCTGCTCGGGAAAATGACTCTCTCCAGGCGGCTTCGTGTAGGGGTCTTGGAGGATGCAACATGGACCGGGCCCATGCCAGCGGGGTGCCGAAAAGCATCTGACACCCGAACTCCAACGAGCCAGACCCGCCCGAGATCACGTGTGTGTGTGGCAGCGTCCGACGGCCAGTAGATGCTCGGTGTCCCTTAACCCTTGGCCAAGGTGGAGATGAGCTGGCCAGGCTTTACAGGCTGCACTTGGCATTTGCAGCCCGAGGGCCCTGTCAGACGCCAATCCCAAGCAGTTTAAGAGAAATTTTTTTTTCTCTTCTTTTCTTTTGTACACATTTTGTCTCCTCTTGAACTTGCATTAGACCAAGAGTCAGTATCTGCTCAACTCCATGCAAGTTAAGCTGATTTGTGTGAAATGAGACAGACCTGAACAGAAGCACAGGGCAGAGGCCTCTTTGTTCAAGCATGTATGGTTTTAGAACTCAGAATGCTGACCCAAATCCAGAAGATCTGAAGTACAGTCTTTCCTTAACTATTGACGTTACTGTGAACAAGTCACTTAACAACTCTGGCCCTCAGTTTCCTCATCTGGACAGGCATCAGGGATGTGGCTCTGAAATTCCTATGCTACCCTTCTGGCAAGGAGCACTGACAGACAGCTGGACTGCCTGTTCCACTCTCCTCCCTGGAAGCCATCAGGTCATCAACGTAATTGTAGAAATTCTGACATGGTCTCATAAGAGGCTGGTGACAGCGCCTTAGAAGGAAGCAAGACAAGACTGTGTGCTAATAGACCTGATTTCTTCAGGCCTTTGAGAATACTGTGGTTCCCGTCAAAACCCTAGGGGGTGGTAGTGGACATAAAGACCAAGCTATATAAGGACAGTGAATCTTCTCTTGTTGCCTCCCTGTGCATTTGAATGCAGGGAAACCCTGCTGTTTATATAGTGGCTATAGGGAAAGGTCAGATAGGTCTGATTGTTTGTGTCCCAGTCTCTTTTGGCCACTGGTTGGTTGAGTCATAGATTGAGCAATAAATTACCTATCATTACTGTAGTTGGAGTACTTTCTGAATGAATGGAGACAATTTTAATAATTATAGCAGGACCAGAATGAGCTTCCAAAGCTATCTACCTTAGGGTTCCAGCAGCCAGACCTCCCTAATAATCAGTGCTACCTTCCCTTTAATGAAGTGATTCTTTTTGGTTTGGTTGCAGTACTGGAGATCAAACCCAGGGCCTGGCACAAGTACCCTACCACTGAACTACCTGCCCACAGCCCAGTGAAGTGATTCTTAAACCTCTAGTATCAGTACATGTGAGAATCATCTGGAGAGGTTGTTAAAAAGAAAGTCTCAGGACTGGGGTGTAGTTCACTGGTAGAGCATTTGCTTAGCATGGGTGAGACCCTGGGTTCAGTGCTCAGTACTGCACTGCAAAACCAAAAAAGAGGAAATTGTCAGCCCTCAGAGTCAGATTCAGTAGGTCTCAGTGGGACCCTGGTGATGCTGATGCAGTTGACCAAAGATCACACCTTAAGGAAGTGGTGCTTTAACTTGCTCAGCTCCCTTGAGAGAGAAATGTCTTCTAGATCATAAGAGTGTTAACATTATGTTGAGGAGCCAAACACATAAAAGACATTTGTTCACCACTCTTTGATATTGATCTCCCTGAAGTATGGGAAAAATGGATCCTACCAATGCCAAGCTGAGGTTTGTGCCAATCTGTTCTACAGCACATATCCTACAGGACTTGTTGGAATAATGTTCCCAAACATTCACTTATGTGGCTCTTTACCTTTGGCAGGATCTCCCAGCCATCCAGCCCCGGCTAGTAGCGGTCAGCAAAACGAAACCTGCAGACATGGTAATGGAGGCCTATGGTCATGGCCAGCGTACTTTTGGAGAGAACTATGTAAGACCCCTTTACCAAAGAGCCTTTGGGAAAGTCATGAATTCCAGGCTTCTGACTTACTCTGTTTTTACTCTGTTTTAGGTTCAGGAATTGCTGGAAAAAGCATCAAATCCTAAAGTAAGTAGATACTGCACTTTTTTAGCTTATATCTAAATCTTGGCTCGTTTGTTGAAAATTAGACCCATGTTAGTAGAGTTTTAGAGCAGAAAGTTGGCCTTGGGGTAGAAATGTTCACATTCCCCTAAAGCCCCAAATAATTCTCAACTAAATTTTCTGCCTTTATTCAAACTATAATTTTCTCTTTTGTGGTTTTTTGAAATGGTGGACTAAGGAACTTGCTATAATCTTGTATCTTTTTGAGATTTGAAAGCGTTAATGAATCCATCCTTAATAGTTGATATCTGAAAGCTAACTATCCATTTGCGTCATCAGGAGACTGGCTAAAGATGATGTTCCTTACAGTTAAAGAGCAGAGTGTAGATGTGAAGGGTCCCTCGGAATATGCACAGTGTTTGAGCCAGCAAGGCTCTCCATAAAATCTGAATCAAACCTGGTTGCTTTTTTCTCTTCAGATTCTGTCTTCATGTCCTGAGATCAAGTGGCACTTCATTGGCCACCTACAGAAACAAAATGTCAACAAATTAATGGGTAAGATAAAACTCTAAATATGAAGACAAACCTGCTCTGTCATTGTATGACTTGCACTACCTTCTGTGGAAGAGAGCAGCTTTTAGAAAACAGTAAGGTAAAATTAAAAATTAGTTACAAGGAACTTACACCTGTAATCCTAGCTACTTGGGCGGCTGAGATTGAGAAGATTGTTGATCGAGGCTAGCCTGGACAAATAGTTCGAGAGACCCTATCTCCAAAATAACTGGAGAAAAATGGACTGGAGGTATAGCTTAAGCAGTAGAGGACCTGCTTTGTAAGCACGAAACCCTGAATTCAAACGCCAGTCCCACCATAAAAAAAAAAAAAGATCCTTCATACTGGGTGTGAGGGAGCCCATTTATATTTAATACATGGCAGTTGGCCATTTGAGAAAATAATTAAATAATTATACTGTGAGGAGATTCCATTCCTCACAGTGTAATTTCCAGCAAGAGTCTTAACTTGAAATAAAAACTATAAACATTATACTGAAGTATTGGAAGGTATTTTTATTTTCTCAGGCTTAGGGAAAGGCCTTTCTAAACAAGACATAAAATCTAGAAACCATAAGAAACAACTAGCAAATTTGATTATATGAAAATTAAACCTTTCTCTTCATTAAAGCAAAAGGGAAGCACAAACTGGGAGAAAAGTAGTGTTTTGAAATGTGGAATATTACTGTTCAGAATACATTAAAAAAGCTATAAATCTTTTTGTTATTATTTGTAAAATAGTAGGTAAAAGAAAAGAAAAATAGTAGGTAAAAGCTATGAACAGGTAATTTACAAGGGGAAAAAATAAAAAAGGTCATTAATTGAACAATGTTCAACTTCATTCAAAGAAATACAAAATAATAAATTCTACTTATCCCCAACCAGATTTGTTAGAAAAATGGAAAAGATTGTTAACATTCAGTATTTTGAGAGAGTGAGTAAATCCCTGTCTTCCACGTCTTACCAGGAAGAGTCTTTTTTTTTTTTTGATCATCATCTGCCATTTATTCAGTGTGTGTTTCTACCCTGTCCACAATGTCTTTTTTTTTTTTTTTTTAATTTTTATCTTATTCATATGTGCATACAATGTTTGGATCATTTCTCTCCCTTTCCCCCACCCCCTCCCTTACTCCCCCTCCCCCCCTCCCTCCCACCCTCCCCTCACTACCTGGCAAAAACTATTCTACCCTTATCTCTAATTTTGTTGAAGAGAGAGTATAAGCAATAATAGGAAGGACCAAGGGTTTTTGCCAGTTGAGATAAGGATAGCTGTACAGGGAGTTGACTTGCACTGATTTCCTGTGCATGTGTGTTACCTTCTAAGTTAATTCTTCTTCAACTAACCTTTTCTCTAGTTCCTGGTCCCCCACTCCTATTGGCCTCAGTTGCCCCAGAGTATCTGCTTTAGTTTCTCTGCATTGAGGGCAAGAAATGCCATCTAGTTTCTTAGGTGTCTTACCTATCCTCATACCTCCCTTGTGTGCTCTCACCTCATCATGTGAACAAAGTCCAATCCCCTTGTCGTGTTTGCCCTTGATCTAATGTCCACATATGAGGGAGAACATAGGATTTTTGGTCTTTTGGGCCAGGCTAACCTCTCTCAGAATGATGTTCTCCAATTCCATCCATTTACCAGCAAATGATAACATTTCGTTCTTCATGGCTGCATAAAATTCCATTGTGTATAAATACCACATTTTCTTGATCCATTCGTCAGTAGTGGGGCATCTTGGCTGTTTCCACAACTTGGCTATTGTGAATAGTGCCGCAATAAACATGGGTGTGCAGGTGCCTCTAGAGTAACCTGTGTCACAGTCTTTTGGGTATATCCCCAGGAGTGGTATAGCTGGATCATATGGTAGATCAATGTTTAGCTTTTTAAGTAGCCTCCAAATTTTTTTCCAGAGTGGTTGTACTAGTTTACATTCCCACCAGCAGTATAAGAGGGTTCCTTTTTCTCCCCGCATCCTCGCCAACACCTGTTGGTGGTGTTGCTAATGATGGCTATTCTAACAGGGGTGAGGTGGAATCTTAGTGTGGTTTTAATTTGCATTTCCTTTATTGCTAGAGATGGTGAGCAATTTTTCATGTGTTTTTTGGCCATTTGAATTTCTTCTTTTGAGAAAGTTCTGTTTAGTTCAGTTGCCCATTTATTTATTGGTTCATTTTGGGAGAATTTAGTTTTTTGAGTTCCCTATATATGCTGGTTATCAGTCCTTTGTCTGATGTGTAGCTGGCAAATATTTTCTCCCACTCTGAGGGTGTTCTCTTCAGTTAGAGACCATTTCTTTTGTTGAGCAGAAGCTTTTTAGTTTTATGAGTCCCATTTATCTATGCTATCTCTTAGTTGCTGTGCTGCTGGGGTTCCATTGAGAAAAAGTTCTTGCCTATACCTATTAATTCCAAAGTATTTCCTACTCTTTCCTGTACCAACTTTAGAGTTTGAGGTCTGATATTAAGATCCTTGATCCATTTTGAGTTAATATTGGTATAGGGTGATAAACATGGATCTAGTTTCAGTTTTTGCAGACTGCTAACCAGTTTTCCCAGCAGTTTTTGTTGAAGAGACTGTCTTTCCTTCATCGTGTATTTTTAGCGCCTTTGTCAAAGACAAGTTGGTTATAGTTGTGTGGCTTCATATCTGGGTCCTCTGTCCTGTTCCACTGGTCTTCATGTCTGTTTTTGTGCCAGTACCATGCTGTTTTTATTGTTATTGCTTTGTAATATAGTTTGAAGTCGGGTGTCGTGATACCTCCAGCATTGTTCTTTTGACTGAGTATTGCCTTGGCTATTCGTGGCCTCTTGTGTTTCCATATAAATTTCACAGTAGATTTTTCAATCTCTTTAATGAATGTCATTGGAATTTTGATGGGAATTGCATTAAACATGTAGATTACTTTTGGGAGTATAGACATTTTTACTATGTTGATTCTACCAATCCATGAGCATGGGAGATCTCTCCACTTTCTATAGTCTTCCTCAGTCTCTTTCTTCAGAAGTTTATAGTTTTCCTTGTAGAGGTCATTCACATCCTTTGTTAGGTTTATACCTAGGTATTTGATTTTTTTGAGGCTATTGTAAATGGAATTGTTTTCATATATTCTTTCTCAGTTTGTTCACTATTGGTGTATAGAAATGCTAATGATTTTTCTATGTTAATTTTATATCCTGCTACCTTGCTATAGCTATTGATGGTGTCTAGGAGCTTTTGAGTAGAGTTTTTGGGTCTTTAAGGTATAGGATCATATTGTCTGCATAGGGATATTTTGACAGTTTCTTTACCTATTTGTATTCCTTTTATTCCTTCTTCTTGCCTAATTGCTCTGGCTAGGAATTCCAGTACTATGTTGAATAGGAGTGGAGATAGTGGGCGTCCTTGTCTAGTTCCTGATTTTTGAGGGAATACCAGGAAGATTCTAAAATGGTAGGGGCAGGCTAGGGGTGAAGTTCAATGTTAGAATGCTGGTCAAGCATGTGTGATGCCCTGGTTTTGATCACCAACACCACAAAAAAAATTTTTTAAAAAGAGTTAGCTCCAATATTTGTTAATTTTGTAAGCTTGAATAAACTTCCACTTTTTCCACTTTTCTGCACCTCAATTTTCCCTTTTGTATGGAGATGATAGTATTTCATGAACTATGGTGGAGATTACAAAAAAATATTGGGCTCAGTGGAACATACTTGTATTACAGCTACTCTGGAGACTGATGCAGGAAAATTGTAAGTTCAAGGCCAACCTAAGCAACATAGCAAGACCCTGTCTCAAAAATAGAAAGAAAGGAAAATAATGCAAGCTGGTGAGGCCGGGGGTGAGGGGAGGGGTGGTTATAGTTCAGTGGTTTCCCCAGCATAGAAGAAAAAGAAAAGAAAGAATACATATATAAAGTAGTTAGCATACTGCCTGGAATATCTCAGTATTTGATAAAAGCAAGTGCTTAGGATTGTCTGTGTCACTGTTCTTTATCTGAGGCAAGATTGATACTTCAGCATTGATCATTGCATCTTTGAGAAAAAAGACTGATAACTTCAGAGTTTCACTTAGCTTTCAATGTGGGTCTTTCTGATGTCTTTGTCAAATAAGAAGACCCCTATCCCAGAAAGTTTAAGAACATGGTGATACCGCTCCAGGGTAGCATTTTGACTTTCCTGGATAACCTCTCTTCATTGTCATTTTGCCTTTTTTGTCTCATTTGGAACTGAGATGAAATTAGATCAGGCCTGCTACTCCTGATTGAAGCATCTGGATCTGTTTGCTGCCTGTTTGTGTGCATTGGTGTTTCCCTTTCCTTACTTATCTTTGCTGAGAAGGTGACGGTCTAACACTTGAACTTATATCTGTCAGAACTTTCTCATTTGTCTTCTTAGCAAACTGAGAACTGTCTTTTTCTATTCCTGAGATACTTTTTCATGTCAAGATTCATTACGTTACCTGCTGCAGTGGGCTGAATGGAGAGCACTACCTCTCTTTCTCATCACAGCTGTCCCCAACCTCTTCATGCTGGAAACAGTGGATTCTGTGAAGCTGGCAGACAAAGTGAACAGCTCCTGGCAGAAGAAAGGTTCTCCTGAAAGACTAAAAGTTATGATCCAGATAAACACCAGTGGGGAGAATAGTAAGTGACCGGACCTGAATTGTAGGTTTTTCTTCCCTTAGGGTGACTGAAGCTCAGAGAGAATGGTTAGCATAAACAAAGGAAAGAGCTCATGGCCTTTAAGTAAGCTGGTTTTTGGTCTAAAAGCATATTAACACATATGATCCTGTCTGTTAAGCCTTAATTTGGGGGAGGAGAGGAGGAATCAAAAAGGAATTATGACTTTGACCTGAAAATCCTCAAAGGTCACCATCACTCCTAAAAGTATTTATAGAGTTACATGTATAATACTTCTTTTTTTTTTCCCACATGTATAATACTTCTTAGGTCTTAAAAAAAATTACTTAGTGAAGCCGGGTGTGTTGTTGAACACCTGTAATCCCAGCACTTGGGAGGTAGAGACAGGAAGAACACAAGTTCAGGACCAGTTTGGCCTACATAATGAGACCCTGTCAAAAAACAAACAAACAAAAATTACTTAGTGTTGCTTTGGGAAAGATAGAAGAAAAACCAATTAGCACCCGTCAATGACCGTTTTGGGCTTGGGTCAACAGTGTAACAGAGCAAGTAAGAGCCTGGCCTTTGACATCAGACAGACATGGGCTTGAGTTCCAGAACCTTTGGCATGAAGAAGCATCTCTTTTCCAGATATGCCCTGGAGTCAGGCTACATGGGTTCAGATCCCAGTTCTGTAGTTCCTACTTGCATGACCTTGAAAGGTGCTTAGTCTCCCTGTGCCTCAGTTTCCTTATCTTTAGAATGCAGCTCATAAGAGTACTTACTCCAAGAGTTATTGTACTAAATGAAAAACTCAGCACTTGGCTTGTGCCTGGCATGCAGTGATCAGTTGGTTTTAACAGTTGTCATTGCTGTACTGTATGTGCATGTACCCTGATTATAGATAGCTACCTTACATTGTCACCTAGGCAAATTTGAAATTGTTTCCATTTCCACTTCATTACTTCATTGCTTGAATCACAATTAGCTGTGATTTGCCCTAATTAAATGTCAAAGTGAATATTCCTAGCACCTGCCGATTCGTTCTCCAGCTAACTAGTGTGTTCAGTTAAACTTTGCAAATATATAGTCAGAACTATTTGGTATGTGTATGCCTTAATCTTTGTAACTCTTAATAATTAATAAAACTACAAAAATCTCAGATGTAGAAAAATAGTTCTCGGGTTCATCTGAGATTTGGGCAATAAGATCTTTCTGGTGTCTTAAAAAAATGTCAGGATTTTTCCTTTTCCCTGTCCCTTAGCTATCTCAGCTAAAATCCTGAGATGGAGAGGCTGGGGATATAGTTCAGTGATAGAGATGCACATGAAAAACTCTGGGTTTGATCCTCAGCACTAATAAAATTTTTTAAAATCTTGATATGTATTAAAGAGAATCCAATTTATAATTCTTCCCTTGAGAAATTCAGAACCTGACCAGAAAGGGAGCATCACAGAAGACCTCACTTCACACATAAAGGGCTTAAGGACTTGAAGATAGGTTATTTCATGAAGACCTCATCTGAGACACCGCCTCTGTCACAAGGAAAGGATGAAAATGGAGCCTTCCTCTGGCTTCAGGACAGCTCACCAGTCATGTCTTCTGTTTCTTTTGTGAAGGTAAACATGGCCTTCCTCCTTCTGAGACGATAGCCACAGTGGAACACATAAATGCCAAGTGCCCCAGCCTGGAATTCGTGGGGCTGATGACCATAGGAAGCTTTGGACATGATCTTAGTCAAGGACCAAACCCAGACTTCCAGGTATTGGGGGCCGGGGACATGCTTATGTGCAAAGGAGGCATCACCGGGCTGCAATGTAGCTCTACTGAGCATGTGCCTTGCATGCATGGGGCCCAGGAGTTAATCCCCAGCCCCCGGGGAACGGGGGGTCGGGGGCAGTTACCACAGTGGAAGGCCTGTCAAGCATTAAAACTTCCTTCTCCACTCTTCCCATCAGGAAAAGGGAAAAACAGGTTCCTAGACCCCCACAGACCTTCCTCAACTTAGTTGAAACTTGAAGAAGACCGTTTTTACAGATAATGAACTCTTCCTCTCTAGTGATTGATAGTTTTCTTTTGTGGTGGTTGGCTTGTTTTGTTTTCCAGTGCTGGGGGTCAAACCCAGGGCCTTGAACATGTTAAGCAAGTGTTCTACCACTGAGCTGTACCCTCAACCTTGACAGTTTTCTTAAAAGTTGGGGACTTTGCTAAAAGCCCTCTAGTAACTTGTAGTAATTTTGACAGGCCTCAAAATCATAGAGCATAAGTAATCTTCAGAGAAGTCCATCTCCTAAGTGCTGGGATCGCAGACATGCACTTTACCATGCTGGCAGATTTGGCCACTTTAGGCATTGTTAGAGAAGGCAGGAATAAAATGGTGTCACACTTGTGCTTCTGTCAGGTATTGCTGTCCTTACGGGAGGAGCTGTGTAGAAAACTGGGCATCCCTACTGACCAGGTTGAACTGAGTATGGGCATGTCGGGGGACTTCCAGCATGCAGTGAGTATCCTTCCATGTGCTGCTTTCTGCCTCCAGAGTGGGGCCCAAAGGACCAAAGCAGAAATAGGTTTTTTTCTGGAGAAACCTTTGAAATGCTTATCACAGAAACAGCACCCAGTTGCAGTGGTTCTCAATTCTAACACCCACCCCTCCCCACACCCTTTCTTTTTTGGAGTAAAATTTATAGAAATTATATCCTGACTCCTAACTTTTTAAACTCAACATAATTGCCAAGTATAATCTAAAGGAAAATAAGAAATTAAACTGTAGGCTGGGAGCATAGTTAGGAATCAAGTGTGTACTTAGCATGTGCTAGGCCCTGAGCTCAATCCCCACGCACAAAAAGGAAAGAAAGAAAGAAACTATAATCTTTTAAAGGCATTTCATCCTATGTCAGGGTGTGGACATATGACATAAATCCTAATGAAACGGTCTGATGCTTAATCTTACATGTACATCTCACTGTGAGTGCAACAGCTATAAATATAAACTGGCAGCTGACATACATGAGTTTCAAAAATAGTAAATAACTTGGTAAAGTTCCAGAAATCAAGGCATAAATTTGCATTCTGGAAAATCGTATATATTAAAACAGTAGAAAAATTCTTGGTGTTTATACGTACAATGGAATTTGAGTCTGTGCTCAGATAATAGGAGGTTTTTTTCCACCTGCCTAACTGTGGCATGTTGGAAAGGTATATGGGCTTTAAGACAGCTCTTCCTTGTGCAGTTGTATCCTACACACCTTGGACACCCACATCCCTAGTCCCCACCCAACTCTAAGCCACTGAACTCCCCAACCACTGTGAAGACCAAGGACTTCATTACCTGTTTCTCACACCCCTTCAGAGGTGCTCCTGCCCCAAGGAGAACCACTGTTCCTCACCATCTTCAGCTGCAGCCCCACCATTCTTCATAGCAGCCCCTGGGAAGCAAGAAGAAGCACAGCTTCAGCACTGCTTTATTTCTGTACTTTAAACTCTGTCCTCGATGCTTTTTTGTCTTTCCCAGATTGAAGTAGGATCTACAAATATCCGGATAGGAAGCACCATTTTTGGAGAGCGGGAATACTCAAAGAAACCTGCTCTAGACAAGACCACAGCAGACCTGAAGGCCCCAGTGGGTGTGGCACAGGAACACTGAGCTAAGGACTACTAAGAAGACCAACTATGCACTAACCTAGATTTTCATCTTGATGTTCCTCATGTTACAGCCCAGTCCTGCTCTCCTGTGACCTGGATAGAGTGCTGATGATTACGTGTGTTAATGGAAACCATCTGTGCTTAGTCTCTGACATAGGAAGCTTGCTTCAAGCAGTGGCTTTGGACCGAATTTGAAAAATAGAGACACTGCTGCAGAACAAATACCAAATCAGTAGCCAGGAATGAAAAATTGAGTTCATTACTGAATTCAGCCCAGGAGCACCAACCAGTCCATGAATGCCTTTTCCAGGTTTAAAGCTTGACCGCTGACGCCTATAATTGTGGAAATCAGAGGTATTCCCACTCATCATCCCAATTTAATAGGAAATTCCCTTCCTACAAGTAGGCCTGATTAGTCACTGTTACTGCTGTGGTGATTTCTGCCACCAGTTTCTACCCTAGCCTGTAGATATGGAAGGTGTTCTTTGCTCTGGAGTGGCAGTACAGGAAACTGTGGCAGGGCTCCAATCACAGATTGCCATTAGTAAGAGTTTGTGTCATTGACCACTGTGATATCGACCCTGAAATTGTAGGGGTCATTATTTGTAATTAAGAATTAGGCCTTTGTGACATCTTTCTGAAGAGATAAAACCTGGATCTTTTTCCTCTGGGACTGATAGTGATGAGAACTGGATGAGACGATTTCTCCACCATGATCCTTCTCCGGTGACTTTTAGCAAAGACAGTGAATCTCATCCTCCTCAGAAATGGCACATGGTTTCAACAAGGCCTTGCTTTGCCTTTTCTTTTCCTGAGAAGCACTTTCCCAGTGTGTTTATAAGCCAGAATCCTGTAGCTCTTGATTGTCCAGAAAGTAGCAAGATCGTCAAAAATCAGAGAGCACAATTCTCCAGCAGTCACAACAGATAGCTTCAGTGCGGGCTGTTTATTTTCTAGATAGCTTTTTCTCCTGTTTGTTCAAGCCTGAGAACATGCTGCTGCTGCTGAATGTAATTTTGTAAAACTTAGACCATTGTGATTCCTGTACTGAATCAAAGCTACAATGTGATATTTCAGAGTCTATTAAATAAAAATGTGAGTTTGATGATACTAACTGTGCCAACTTACAGAGTAATTAAAGATTTATTTTTTATGATCTGGCATAGTGACTGAATCTAACAGGAGGGAGCACAGGCCCTATAGGAAGCAGCTATGCCCCTTACTTGGTGCAAAGCCGGCCTAGCTTTAGAAAGGGCCAGGTCACAGATGCAGCCAAAGCCACACCATGGATGAAAAGGGAGTTCTGAACTTTGAGGGTAAGAAAATGAAGTCTTAATGGGGTATGGTGATGTGTGCCTGTAATCCCAGCACTCAGGAGGCTGAGGAAGGAAGGTCAAAAGTTTGAGGACAGCTTGGGCTATAGCAAGACTCTTGACTCAAAAAAAAAAAAAAAGAGGAATGCAAGTCAGGATACACTAGAGACACTTCACACCCATGTTTATTGCAGCACTATTCACAGTAGCCACTATTCACAATTTGGAAACAGCCAGATGCCATAAAATTGATGGCTGGATTAAGAAAATATAATATACATACACAATGGAGTACTACTCAGCCATAAAGAGCAATGAAATTATGTTGTTTGCAGGTAAATGGATGGAGTTGGAAGACATCATGTTAAGTGAAGTAAGCCACATTCAGATGGATCCTAAAGATAAACATACAAAAAGAAACATGATCATCTACACATTTATAGAGAACATGTTGGTAATAGTGGAATTATTCCATGGAACTCGTGAAGAAGGAAAAGAAGAGAATGATCGTCAACAATATCGAAATACATTGCATCTGTGCCGAATCATTTGTAGATGATGTAACAAGTATGTACTGAAAGCTGTTGAATAATAGATAGGGAAAGGTAAGGGAGAGTAATAGTCGGTGTTGAACTGACCAAAGTACAGCATATTCACAGTTGAAATACATCAAGAAACCCCTTTGAACACTGACTATGAAATTAAAAATGGAAGGATGGTCGTAAAATAGGTCCTATGAGGGTGTAGGTGATTACAGGAGAGGGGATGGTGAATATGGTCAGTGTATTTTATATGCATGTATGAGATAGAACAATGAAACCTTTTGCAATTGTATTAAGTAGGTGGGAGGGGGATGAGGAGAGAGTGGGGGAAAACCTAACCAAGGTACAATGTAAGCATATTCAGAAATGTCACAATGAATGGGGCACCAGTAGCTCACTTCTATAATCCTAGCTACTCGGGAGGACTGAGGTTTGAAGCCAGCCAGCCAAATAGTTCTTATGACTGTCTCAAAAAAACCCAACACTAAGCAGAGTGGCTCAAGTGGTAGAGAGCCTGCCTAGCAAGTGTGAGGCCCTGAGTTTAAACCCCAGTACCACCAAAAAAAGCCACAAATTTCACAATGAATCCCCACTGAACAACTAATGTATGCCAATAAAAATGCTTTGAGGAAAGAAAAAAATGAATTCTTGACGCTTCAGAAATTACAAAAAGACGACTACAAGAAACTTTCACAAGGCCTCTAGGTGGCGACATTAGCTATCACTGCCTACAAAAGCACTGAGGCCTAGGATCCTGTGAGTTGGTATTGGGCTCTGCTGTCAGCAGCTTGCCCTGGAGGGACTCCTGGTGATTTAGCATCACTCCCTCTTGATGGGCAGAAATGAGGACCAGAGAAACACAATTCTCTCAAGTGATGCCATGGACTTTCAGGACCACAGGAAGCTTTCATCTTCCTCATTTCTACACTAACTTGGCCAAGTTCTGAGAGTGACTGTGGAACCATTCAGGGAACATGAAGTAGTTTGACCAATAAAAGATCTCCACTGGCAGAGTGGCTCAAGTGGTAGAGCGCCTGCCTAGCAAGCTTGAGGCTCTGAGTTCAAACCCCAGTGCTGCCAAAAATAAGTAAAAGTCTCTGGCTTAGTCCTGGAGATGTAAGAACAAAGGAAGAGTGGAGCACTGGTGGCTCACACCTGTAATCCTAGGTACTCAGGAGTCAGAGATCAGGAGGAGTCACAGTTTGAAGCCAGCCTAAGCAAATAGTTTTTGAAACCCTATCAAAAAAAGAATGGGGGATGGTGGAGTGGCTCAAGGGGTAGGCCCTGAGTTCAAACCCTAGTACCACACACATACACACACAAAGAACAAAGGAAGAGACAAGGCAGGGGAGGCTGAATCAAACCCAGATAAGAGAAAGAAACCAAAGTATGAGTCCAGCGTATCCACAGTAGGACAGGATCTTTCATAGAAAATTGTGCCAGGCTGTGACATTGACTTGTTACACATGACAAGCCTTCAGTTGGGTTACGCCCAAGTTTTCATGAACACAATGACAGCATCCAGGGCAAGTTTTCTGAGTGACAACAGCATGCTCTCCAGAGTGAGACCCACCCATACAGCCTGGCCATCTCTCCCTGATAGTGTCAATGGACCAAGCCCTTGTCTACCCTGAAGCCACCCTCAGAAGGTTTGAGGTGCTTAGATGCCCCCGGACAATCTGTCATGGCTTTGGTCTCCTGGGAAGTTTGACAGATCCTACCACTCCACTGACCACACCCACCTCCCTGTCCTGTAGTGCTGGAGATGAACAGGGCCTAATGCGTGACAGGCAAGTGCTCTACCACTGAGCTGCAACCCAGACGTAACACATTTATTTAAGCAACCTCTCATTCAAATTGTACCCTCCCCCTTTTTAAATATTCATGGCCTGTAGTAACTCTCCTATATGCCCTCATTTTAATCTCATGACCACTGATGGAGTATTTTAAGCTATTTGGCTGTATCTCTTTGCCAACAGACCTTAGGGATGCTAAGGTCCATGGCAGGGCCCCTTGTCTGAGGTCAGAGATGGTGACAAGGAATAAACTCGGGACTTCTGGTCCATAGCTTGGTCACTAAACTACGTTGTCATTATCTGTCTCTGACTTTTTTTATTTACTTTTTTTTTTTCCAGTGCTGGGAATGGACTCAGGTCTTTGCATGTGCTAGACAATGCTCTACCTCTGAGGAGTCACACCCACCAGCCCCTGTCTCTGGCTTTAATCACTGATAATGGGTGTATTCTTAGATTTGGAGCTTTAACTTCAGAAAGCCATGTCGCCATAAAAGAAAAGTACATTTTAGTCTATTGTACTAGTTGAGAATTGACACATCTTAATGCAGAACAAACTTTGAAACCACAAGCAGTGGGGGTGAGAAGGAAAGAGAGAATTAAATGCAGCCATGAGGGGAATTAGCCTCCCCGGTCACCCCATTTCCCTAGCACTCACATTCCTCCTCTAGATTCAAGCTCCCACAGGCTACATGGCTCTGGTGCCCCATCTCCACCCCAGGCTGGACCAGCAGTGAATTCTGTTGCCCAAGGCTAGACACAAGGAATGAGGTCGAATGAGACATTCTTAAAACCCAAGACATCTTTGTCCTCCAGAAAACAAGTAACCCTGTACTTCCCAGAATGCTGAAGGAGGAGGGACCGTTCCTAAAAGGCTGCAGTAAGGGTGGGACAATGCCAGAGAATAATTGGAAATGATTTGCTTTGGGAACCATGACTGTCTATACCATGAAATCAGTTGAATACTGTTACATCAGCCTTGTGACTAAGGGCAAAAGAATCCACTGTCCTCCAAAATGTTTTACTAGTCTGCCCTCGCTCAAGGAGCACAGAGGTAAAGAAAAGGACTTTTTTTTTTTTTTCAGTAGTGCTGGGGGTGAAACCCAGGGCCTTGTGTGTGCTAGGCAAGCGCTCTTCCACTGAGCTACACCCCTAGCTCCCCAAAAGGGCTTTCCTTTCCACCCAGTTCCTATCAACTTGTTTATTCCATGGTTATGTGTGGTTGAATGGCCACTTATACTGTAGAGGATCCTTAAATTAAAGTTCCTCTCCTATAACCACTTTAAGGTCCCAAAGGACCTCAGAGCTAACACTCTTTTTCTATAATTTCCAGCACAGATTAGTTAAGGGCATGTGGTGGGGACAGAGAGAGGGACTTTGAGCACCTTTCTTATATTTAAGATAAAGTTTACAAGCTGGAGCTGCTGAGCTCTTGAGATGGTAAGGAGCAGACACCATCCCTTGGGTGCCCGGTGCTCCTTAGATACTTGGGTCATGCTAGAAGACAGCTGTGTGCCACTTCTGCCCCACCCACCCTCTGAGGAGCGGCCTTGCACTCCAGCTCCAGAGCTCAGCCTGAGCGGGCTGCCAATCTCCAAAATAAAATCAATGTGTGACCTTATTCAGCAGATGTACCAAAGAAACAAGCACAAACCAGGGCCAACTTTGAAGCCAGAAAGGGAAGATGAGAAGTGGGAGAGAGAGAAAGAGGAGGGAAGAGAAACTTGGCTGGACATGAAAGGTATCTTGTCCGTCTGTTCCCCATTAGGCTCAATTCTCTCTCAATCTGCAGCCTCAACATAATTCTCTTGACCAGAAACCCTCCGGAGAGATAGTGTCAGAAGGAAAAACAAACAGAACAGCATCTTCTGACAGCAGACTCACTTAAAAACCTATTGGCAGTGGGGGATGCAGGCCTGTCAGAGGAGGGCGCTCTTCGCAGCAGGCCATGTGTGGAGCTGCATTTGCCCAGAGACTGGACAGGACAGGATGGGGCTGATGGGCAAGGGCAAGGTAAACCCTGAGTCTTTCTGCCCTGGCATCCACTCTGATGCTTCAGGACCTGCCTTGTGTGGTTTTCCCAGCCCGGGTGGCTTGGGAATGTGGCACAGGGGTAGAGCACTTGCAAGGCCTGGGTTCCATCCCCAGCATTGAAATAATGAACTAAACCCTTGGTATTGGGCTTTTTTTTTTTTTTAGCCCCATGGTACATGAAGAATTCTGAAGGGGCGTTCAGAGAAAGGGACCCCATTGTCATAACTCCTTCCCTTCTCTGATGTCCACTAGCAGCCAGCAACCCTGGCAGCAAAGGCCCCTTTTCCCCAGCCCCTTTGACCCGCCTAAACTGACTAGTATTTGGGAAACTAACCCCACCCCATAGGCAGGAGGCTTGGGGAAGGTTCTGGAGGGCTGAGGGGTGGGGAAGGCAGGGCAGGCAAGGGCCACAGTTCTGTGCTCAAGTTTCTGGGGCAGGCTTCCTGTTATAGGAGAGGCCTTTCTTTAAAGGAAGAAAAACTAATCAGCAGAAAGAAGCCAGCGCTTTCCCCTGCCTCTCCACGTGTTTATTACACTAGGATATCTGATTTCAGCAAAGGAAGCCGGCACCGAAGCAAGGTTTTTATTGGCCGTGAGCAAGAGGAATTCAGGGTTTGCCTTTGATTTGGCTTCCCCAG